CAAATCCTTTCCCCACAGTGTATCAAATCCAACCACAGTTTAAAGCTGTGTTAATTGTGAAAATGAGCATTATTTATAAGTAGTACTTTTAAAATCAATTTTAAGGTAGTTTAGCATAATTTTGAATAGCCTTCTAGTACGAATTGATTTTACAAAAAAATAATTATTAAACAGTGTGAATTTAATCTGGAATGTTTGACACTTTTGCCTGTTTGGAAATATTAATAATCTCAGTTTTAAATTTGATTTAAAATTTATGTTCACAAACACAGAACATAGCAACATAGTCTTGTGGAGTTTTCCATTGGGGTTTTGAGAATCATAACCTATTCACTATTGCATGGTTGTGATAAATCTGCACTGGAGATGGATGGCTCCCAGCCTCTTTAAATCCAATAGAACAGATTACAGTATAAAAATGCAACACATGTACTATTGTATGTGGATGCATACTGTGTATGTTTTTACAGCTATTTAAATACAGCATATTAAAAAAAAAGAAGAAAAAAGCACAAGGTCTATGTGAAAATAGTATAGAAAACGGAAAAAAACCCCAACATGTAAGTGAAGGATAAATGTGGACAAACATTGTTAGAAGTGTGCATCGACAGACACATCACCAAATATGGTTTGCACTGGTGGTGATGGTATTTAACAGGGTGCTAGGTGCACTACGACAGACCTGATGGGTATGTAACATTAATATGGTTAGATTCCAGTTTTATGTTTCCCATGCGTTTCAAATATGTATTACTTCTTAGTGCAACATCATAACAGATGGGTGAAGACTGTAGGGTTTTTTCTTTGTTGTTTTAATTTTACATACAAAAGGAAAAGATTTTATTAAAAAGGTAAGAAAATTAATGTACATTTTAAGATGCCCTATCTGGACATCTGCCTTTTTTCCTACTATACATACTGATAATTAGCCCTTGCAATCAGACAGGTATGATCCCTTACTTTTAACTCTTAAAATTGCAGTCTAACTATCCAGCTTCCCCTCCCTGGCTCCCTAGTTTTCACAATTCCTGGCCCTTTAGTGTCATGTAAAATGCTTCACCCAAAGCATCAGGAACAGCTTACGGCTGCATGCTGCAGTCACGATTACCAGCTTGACCGGGCTGAGCACACAACAATGGCAGTGCATCCCTTGGGGTGCAGGATAGGCACTAGCTGCCTGGTTAGTACTTACAGCAGCATCCTCATGCTAGTGTGGCACTCACAGAGAATTCAGAGAGGTCAGCATGAGAGACAGAAATAAGGTAAATCTTGTAGTAACAGAATTGGGTTTGGGTTTTGTGGTTGTTTGGGGTTTTTGGTGGTGGGTTTTTTTTTTTTTGTACTTTGGACTGAAAGACAAAAAGCAGTTTTCAGCAGCTGGGCAGCAAGTGGGAGTTGATGTGATCGGTATGGTGTACATTAACTACAACCTTACAAGGCACATATCTATAAGCCTTAATGTGAAGAGGAGGTGATAGCTGCAGACTCCGTATTCTGTATTGTGACTGAAGTTTTTATGAATTATTTGCCTTAAGGCTTCTTATGAGTGAACAAGTGATGGTTTAGGTACCACCTTTATGATTACTATTTATTAACCAAGAAAAGTAGCTGGATAGAACCTTTTAAAATACTGTTGGGCCATTTTGTGGTGAATGGGCCAAACTGTCAGTATACAAGAACGTACTGTGTTAAGAAAGGCACAATACTATGGTACAAGTCCCATTGGAGTGTTAGTTGCTTTGTGTTTTAGATGTTTTAAGTAAATGACGTTTAGCTACCTCTTTTCCTAGTAAGATTCCTTCAAATATAGCTTCAGGAGCTCCAGAAGGACTCCTAGATGGAAAGTCTGGAATCCAGCTTAGGCTCTTGGTAACAGCACTACAGCTTTATGTTAAAAGAGCCCTGCAAGAAGAAAATCCACTTCCTCTACAGCTAACAATGCCATTTACTTAGTTTCGTATAGTTCATTGCAAAACTGAAGGTAACTTCCTGGGTTTTGTCACAGCATAGAAGATCTTAACTTTTTGGCTGATGAGGAGGGTGTATCTGCCCAAGGGTTTAGCCATCAATGTAGCAGCCAGTAATAAAATCTGAGTTGCATGGGTATAGTGCATTTTAGCAGGGTTTTACAGCTTATGTCCCTGTAATGACCATGATGCCAAGCCTGTCAGTAACAGCCTGATAGTTCTAGCTCACAGTAAGGCTTCTGATACCCAAAATAAAAGCTTTGTGCAGAAATGGGACTGGGCTGAGCAATTCCCCTCAGCTTATCCTACAGGGACTCTTGCTTATTTGTGAGCACTGACTCTGGATTACTTATGGACCCTGACAGTTTCACTTCCATAGTGAAGGGAGCTGTTGTGCATCTGTAAAGGCAAGACAGTGCTGGGTTGCAATAGCATAGCTAACTTTGGGAAACAAAAAGTAATGAGCTGGCTTACTGTTATGTTCACCTTGGCTATTAGGAATAATAACTTCATGGGGTGTTGGACAGACAAAAGCTAACTCACTCAGCTGTGCATTGGCTCTACAGTGATGGTAGGTGTGCAATGCAGGAGAGAGCTGTGGTTGCAGTGTCTAGGGCACAAGAAGCACAAAAAAGCATTTATTTAGCTATTTGCATTAATCGCAAGAAAGCCAAAATAGCACAAATTTCAGCATAAGGTGTACAAGTCTATCGGGAAAATGCATGTTGGGCCTTATTGTCACTGCTGCCTGAGTTAGGACAGGTCTCTTGGTGAGCTGTACTCAAAGCTGCCACTCTAATGGCAAACCTTGAGGCAGTCGAAGGCTTGCTTTTCATATTGAACTATTTCCTAAAAATGAAAACCCCTTCTCCCAAATAAACCACAACAGTCCAGATGCACATTAATTAAAATTCATACAGTGGAATTTGCCTCACTATTTTAATACCTAGTGAATGCTTTTGGAGTGCCTGTCAGTTTGTGAGGTAAGTGGATCTGAAAAGATGTTAAGCTAAGCAATTCTAAATTTTCTTTTAAAAAAATATAATCATCCAAACAACAAAAACTTCCCTTCTAGTCAGATGTCACTATGTAATTCTATATAGCTGAAAGGGCTTTGTAGGTAAGTATTAGTAAACCTGTTGTAGAAGTTGAGGGGGAGGGGAGGGACCAAAACAATATCACAAGAAAAATGGCAGATTCTTAAACACAGCCTGACTTCTGGTGCTGCCTCAGCTGCACTACTGCTAGGTCACAGCCTTCATCTGTACATGAGATTACATTTCAGTTTCACAACCAAAAAATGTCTTGGGAATTCTTAAGGTTCTGATACATGGCATTGAACATGAACAGAGCCTCCAACCACACCAAAAATCCTCCAGGTCAAGACAGAAATAAAACAAATTTTGGCATATGACTCTCCCTTCAAGGGCATCCGTGTTATAACCAACTGTGCTGAACATACAGAAGGCCAGTGGAAATACCTGGATTTACCTCATTCTCTCCACCTTCCCCATGCTCCTTCCCGCAGCTAAACGGGCAGCATAGTGTTTCTCTAGCCACTCAGATGCAGTCTGCTTTCACATGTTCAAGCTCACTCATCAATGTAAAAGGTCAGAAAGGAATGTCAGGAAACATATTTAATAGAAAATGAATCTTAACCTGCATTCAAATAATAAAAATAACCTTCCTCGTGCATCTATTAGCTTTTCAAACTTTTGCTAGCGTGCAACCATTTGCTGCATGTTACTACCATTAAGGCTTCTTTCCAGTAGCCTTTTCAGCTGAACTATCACTGTATTGAAGGGTCTGCAGTATGGCTGCACATTCTCAGACACAGATTGTACTTGCCAATAGGTGCTGGGGAAGTGGTACAGGCAGGGCTAAAAAAAGCTGTTGGCAAGGAGTTGAAACTTTTGTTTTGGCATGCAGTGTGATCATCTTGCTTTATAAGCATTAAATGGGTTCTTGGGGAAAAAGCCTACCTCTAGGTAGGTACGTGGGCAGAACTTACATCACTGAATGTTAAATGGCTGAAGCCATACCCTCAAACCTACTCTGGTATATTGCAACCATTTAACTTCAGTGGATCTCATACAAATCTTTCACTTTTAATCCATCACAAAAGAGATGCAACTCAGACATTATAGTTTAAGCATGCAACATGTCATAGGTAACAAAATTGGTTAGATAGCAGTGTATATTAAATAAATCTTTGTGATTAAGTAAAAAAATCACAAAAACAATTGCTGAGGAACATGTCTGCAGGCTCAGCTCTACATCTGTGGGTTTTTTTTCTTTTATACATCAGCAGCAGCCAAATTCACAATTGATAGATATTGCACCAGAAAGACATGTGCAGTGAGAAGGAATATAATCACATTAATGTTTATGATAAAAAACAGATATGACTTCCATGTGTTACATAAAGTGCCTTTAGAGTTGGTGCAGTTAGAAACAAACAAAAAACCCATTGTTATTTAGATATCATTAGCAAATGCATACAAATAGGAGACAAACCAGATCTGTTTTCCATAGTGCCAAATCGCATAGTGCCAGGTTTCATTCAAAATGCCTCCATCGCAAACAGTAAAGAGGAAAGGATAATAAAAGAATCACTATACAAAGATAATGACAGGGTTAAGCATACTTTCCTAAAATGATTAATGCCAACCCTACCCCAAAATACTTTATAGTACATGTAAGTATTACCAATAATGAGGCAATTTCTTAACTGAACATGAGATTTGGCATGCTATGTTATGATTCTCCCTTGACTTGTAACTATTCTAATATTTATACAAAAATCCAACATCCAGTCTGTACTTCTGGATACAGAAAAATATTTATGTGCTCAATGAAAAGAGTTGCTCTCAATATATATAGCCCCTGTAGAGAAAATTTCCAACATAGCTTTCTCCTACTTCCTTAATGGTTTGGGAACACAAGCCTCAAAATGTGCTTTGAAAAAATGACACTGGCATCAAGTCTGGTATGAAATTAAGAAAAATGCTCATTTTTCCAAGTATATGATATTTAATTGTAATGAAATAAAATCTGAAAACATCTAAATCAATTAAAAAGTAAACATGAGTTGTAATACTATACCTGTAAAATGATTAATTCCATTCATTGTCATTAGAAATTATGTAAAATATTTATTAAGGGCTTTGCCTACAGAGGCACAACATAAATAGAGTAAGTCCTGCTGAAATGTGATCAGAGTTCATGTTAAGCAGTTGGTAATCTGCTGTGGAAACATCAGAAAAGCCACCCACAGATTACAGTTCAAACTTGTGGATTCAGGCAACTGCACTGTCGAAGGGTTTGCTCCATGAACCAACGCTGTGCAACTGTTCTGCCATAGTCCCTCAGAGTCCGTTAGGCAAATGCAAAAGTGCAAGCAGAACTTGCTTGAAGGGGGTGGGGGGGAGAAGTTGACATTTTAATCCACTCCTTCAAATCCTTGAGCATTTTCAACTGCCATAAGGAGCTTCTCTCGCAAATCTTCAAAAGATTCATAAAGAGGTAAATCTAGGCGATTAAAGCTGAAATTTAGAAGGAAAAGAATCATTTAATAATCCATTGAAAAATACAGATAACTTTAAAGAAACAGAAAAGGTTAAATAATTTGGGGGGGCCTTAACAGAGAATATATCTTACTGTCCAAATGGGGGCGATCTCTGCAGTGTCCTTTGCAAACCTAATTAATGCTTGTGTTCCCTGCAGGTAGCATCTGAAACCAACCCTGCCTGGACCAAAGTGAGTTTTCAGAAATAAAATTGGGAAGTTGTTAAAAACCACTTAAATGAAAAAAGCCAACAGCCCCCGCCCCCATATTTAGTTGATTGAAAATATTGCATCTTTGTTGAAAGGCTGGTTTCCTAAGATTCAGCAAAGATGTTCTAAATTTATAGGACAGACTCTCTACCCTCTGGGGGAAACAAAGAAGAATAAAAAACATCCAAAAGAAGGTCTTGAAAAGGTCCTGTAAAATCTAACAGATAATTGAAATGTTAAAGAGGATGGGTTGACATTGGAATGTGTTTGGGATTCTGTTGTTGTTTTTTCCTTTTTAAAGAAAACTTTTCATTCTATAGAATGATTATTTTTATGGAAAGATCACCATTCTCTACTAATGTTCTAAAAATTAGTTTTCCTATACAGCATAATTTAAGTTAGTTACCTTAAAGCCATATTCTTGATATGCAACAGAGCAAGACAAGGATTTGTATTGAATGCTTTCAACATTTGCAAATTCTATAAATTAGGACTAAATCAAGTCAGCTTATGATCTCACATTTTTAGTGAATTGTCCAACAATTTATGGCCTTTATGTAGCACGGCTTTCTATGGCTATGTTTTGTTACATCAGACTTTCTGTAGTTCCATTATACCCACTTACTAGAACAAAGAAAAATAAAATGGAGAATGAGAAAGGGAAATTGATGGTAAGAGTAAAAGCTGCTGGCAGTGTGGTACAGCTTAGTGAGGTGATAGCTGAAATAAAATCACGGCACCAAGGAAAGAAAAAAAAAGCATCAACCCCTATTTGTACAAATGGTAGTCTTGATTTTAAAATGCATGGATATCCTTCAATTTCTTAGTTTTCCAGAAGGAAGGAGGAAGAGGTGATAAATGCCTAAGACACATAAAAGAAGGCAATGAATAGTATTAGCCTTACAAGGTGAGGCACTATTTTTCCTCCTAGTATGCCCTGTTAAAACTCCTGTTACCCTTTTAACAGTCTCTCTCAGAGAGTTTATTGCCTGTCTGGTATTTTTTAAGGCCTTCAGACTGACAGAACAGAGCCTATGTTTTAACATTCATAGAAAAATAACTAAAGCATAAGATGCAATTCCTCTTGCTGTTTTTCCCAATCCCAGTTTTGACAGGAACCACAAAAAGCTGCTCCCAGCCTGCCTTTGCCACTATTCTGCAGTACCATCTGTGAGTCACTGGATGGCTCTGTGACTATGTATCCTTACCTGTCATGTCTGCTTGTCTGTTTCCTTGGAAATTGGGGGGGGATTAGAAAGTCTTCCCAATGTGAAAGGCACTGGGAAACCATTAGGCATTTGAGGTGGAAGGGACTGCAGCCTGAACAGGACGCTCAGCCAGTGAGACAGATGGGATGACAATTTGTAAGATCCTAGGGCTCTCCCCAGCAGGCACTGAGGATCCTACTCCCAAATTCAGCACAACATTAAACATACAGTAAGTACACTTTCTGTGCTGTGCTTCATGTGCTCTGATCTGGATTGTGTTGCAAGTACCTCACATAAACAGATTCTTATGTATTTGATATGGGGAAAAGTCTAGCAGAAGGGATTCAAATTTATTCCATTTTGTCAGAACATCAGTTTAACTGGCCAGTGCTTAAAGCAATTTGCAGGCTACTATACAGCTTCAGCTATGATAGTTAACATTTTGCATATATGGGTAGCAATTCCTTCAAATGTAGTATAAAGTAAAGTGGGGAGAAGCTATCTCTTCTCTCTAACACATGTTTTAACAGGCAAGCAGTTACTAGAAGAGGAGGCCTGAGTTGAAAGGGTTACTGGGAATACAGTAAAATAGCATTAAAAAATCTTTATCAGGCTATGATGGTCAGAGTTCATTTTGTATTCATTCACCTGCATTTACTGCAGAACACCTACACCTACTTACTGTATTAACGCAGCCTTTCACATGTCCATGAGAAAGCAAAACAAGCATTGTTTAGGAACTGTAAGAAGCAATGGCACAGTGCTGGTGTTGAGCCCTGCTACCTCCTGGAATTCTGCATGTTACCTTCTGCAGCTGTGTGTCAGCAGATAATCACCAACTGTTCTTTCCCTTGTAAATGCACACCTACACACACATGTGTAGGTTTCAGAGTATCCCATTTTATAAAAAGCTATATGATCAAGAGCTAAAATATGTTAGAGAGAAGCAGGGTCATCAGTTTCCCCCTTTCTTGGCAGTATAACAATACAATACAGAAAAAGCTATATAATTTTATGCTTTTATGACTTACCATGTGTGAGCTCTGGGCAGTTTATCAGGACTTCCCCATTGCTCTATTGTAAACAGCTGAGGACCATTTGAACCTGGTTGAAAATGAAAATCATATGAAATATAAATTGCTGGACACTACAGAGAGTAGCTAAATATTATTTTTAACTTAAATGTTTGCATAAATTGTAGGCTAGAATTTTCAACTGCTACAAAATACCTGGTACAAACTCTCTTAATTAAAACTGCATTAAAGCAAATAAGAATGTGGTTATTAATTTCCAAGCCCACTTAGCTTGTTAAGTTTAACTACCTTGGTGTAGAGTATATGTAATGGAAAAGAAGTAAGCTCAGACATTAACATTTAAAAATTAAAGTGCTTGGTTAAACATGCATTCTCCTCTTCTTCATGTGACATGAAAATTATTCCTGCTGACTAGTAAAATTTTTTTCTGTGGGAGCTAGGACAGCATCTATGTAACACCCATGGCATACAAAACTACTCCTCCTCAGTGTGCCCCCCCAAATTCTCCAGTGCCCTTGGCATCCAGGAGAGAATTCTTACGTGGGGGTCAAAGGTTGGCTTATGATTAAATTTCAGTCATGCCCAGGTTTTCTTGTTCATGTTCAGAAGGGGTCTGTGCAGCCATTCTATTGGTGAGCATAGTTGGTGGGCAGTTGAAAGGAAGCTCACCATAAAGTTCAGCAAATCCATTCATAGGCACGCGTGACGTCCCAGTAACAAACTGCAGTAATCGAATCCGTTTTTCAGCATCCATCAGTAAAACAGCCTATTGACAAACATACACAGTCACTCTCTTTTCACTTTCACAGCTATAGATGTCATTGTTAAAAAACAAAAAAAACATGAGTAAAATGATCTATTTATGTTTGTTAGACTATAATAGACATGTAACTGTCAGGGATGTGGTAAGGTCACATAGCAGGTTTTCTCTGGTTAAATAAGGAGCATCCTTTTCCAGCTGCCACCAGGCCACAATGAGGAGACACTGCTCTGGCAGCAGCTGGGAGCTACACATGCTGTTCCCCTGCATGAGGTGAGGTGGATCGCCTTTCGGCAGGGTCAGGGCCCCACAGGCGCACTGCACTTGTACACATGCCTAAGAGGGACAGAGATGACAGAAAAGCCTTGAAGACCAGAGAGAGAGACTGCAAGGGTTCACAGAAAATCCTATCAGCATTGCACTGCAGCAGGACCTCAGAGCCAAGCCTTTTGGATTGATACAAGTACATAGTCTTCATGCATACCACCCCTGGTCATGAAAATGATGTAAGAAACCCAGCAACAAACTTCAAAGTGCATGCACGAAGCTGTAAGGTTCCTGTATTTTTAAGAAAAACAGACACCCCTTTGAAAAATCTAAGGTTATTATGGGGAAATGTAGTTTTTCTGGGGCCATAAACTTTTCATAAAAGTATTTTACTTCACAAATACAGCAAGACACTTCAAAGATCTGAGTTCCTATCTTGGGTCTATTTCTAGTGTAGTCTCTAATGAGTACCACAGCTGTCATTTCCAACATACAGAGATGTTCTTCAGCAGTTTTCATGAAGAAAAAAGATTCTATAACAGACTCCACAAAACAATACAGGAACTTTCACTTTTAAGAACAGTCAGAGAAGCCAAATGTGGTAAAACAGTATTACCTTCCAGAACCACTGGATAACGGGATGATTTGGGCAGTAACCATTTTTGTAGATTGTATGTTGTCTCCAGTCATTAACATCAACATCGCCAAGGCCACACATCAGTAACTGCATATGGAAGTAAATTGTTACAGTGTTAATCGAAGATGGCACTGTGTTATCCTGTACACTTTATCAGAAAAACAAGGTTACACTTTCCCTCTGTTGTCTGACCTTTTAAACAGCAAAACAGTGCAAATATAAAGGAGAGTTGGAGCTTCAGGAGAATTCTCAAAGAATATTTCATTTTACTTCAGAAACACTATACACTGACATATGTGTGCTTCGTGGGACAGCGTCTTTTATGGCATTTTGCTCAAAATATGACCGGTATAGGCATAATGGCATTAATTCAGTAAGCTACTTACAGGCTTTTATATGCACATACTGAACCACCTCACTGGATAATTACAACTTTTTGTGCTTTTATGTGATCAATAGGTTTATTAATTAGGGAGAAAAATCTCATTTCCCACTATAAGCAAAGCATCTTTGTCTGCAAATTCACTTATGATGAGTAAGTGGTGACTGATGAGCCTAAAACATAATGCATCATTTTGTGATGAGCATTGCTGATCTGTTGTCTCTGGATGTCAATTAAACAAACTCACCTCTAGTTCATTTTCATCAAAAATTTTAATCAGATCAATGGGAAGAAGTTCTGTGAATCCCTAAAAGAAAGCAAAGTAAAGTTGAAATTCTCATACCATGTAAAATTAAATTTTTATCTAGCAGGAACTTTGGCTTCTGGGAACCTAAATAAATGACAGAGGATGAAGAAGGGTTTTGAAAATGAAATACATAGTTGCTGAAGTACGAGACTCTAATTTAAAAGATTAATCACAAAATTATTTCAAGCTTCAAAGAGAACGACCTTATTCTCATAAGGAAAGATTATATATTTGTATACAAGGTAAAACTGTAAAATTATAAAATATAAGCATTCCACAACTGGTGCGGTTATGCAAAGCTCCCCGCTCCCTTAATACAGACACTGATGTATAAGTTGTCTGCATTTAAAAAAAAAATCTTGGGGAAAAAAAAGCAGCTAAAGAACCTTACCTCCAAAAAAGCATTCATTTGTTTTTGAACTCTGTTCACAAACCTCCACTGGATGACCAGGCTATAGTGGATAAACAAAATCAGGTAAGCACACTCATTAGAAGACTGCAAATTAAGTGTTCAGAGATTTTAGCTATGTAATAGTTTCAGCCACCTCCCAACCACACTCTGATGTTAAGGAAACTGAGCAGCTTTTTATTAATTGTTCAAATTTATCTTGTGTGACTGACTGAATTGTTGAAAAAAACCAGTGACTATGAACAAGCTATAATGCAAGTATTTTCACTTTAGCATGCAACATGAACTCTACACATACATTTCCATCTTTTACAGCTATGACTTTTCCACAACACTAAGAATTTTTTAATGTAACACTGTCATGTCATCTGATATTAACCTTTCTACCCCTATGGAGATTATCTCAAGGATGAACACGGCAAAAAGGCTTGCCTGTGGACTGAAACAGCCTGCAAATTCTGTACTATGCTTTATTTCTTTCTAAATGAGGCTGTAATCCAGACTCCGGATGAGGTATTTACTGTTAGTATTAGGTACCTAAATGACCAGACATTTTATTCTTCCAGAACTCTGAGTAATTAACAATTCCCCACAAAGTCTACAAAATTTGAGGATAGATGTAATTACATATAACAGCCTGCCTATAAATAGAGGAATAAAACCTTCAATATGAAAGAAAAAGGCTTGTATTTCAATGCTAACCACCTACAGCATAAATACCTCACAGATTCTAGAATAATGCTTTAGAAATCCAGTTCCTTTCCTACTGAAGCATGTTTCATTCCTCATTTGCATGAATATATAGCAATTATAATGTTTTCTCACCTTTGAAGAGGCACTAATTAAAAATACCAGCAAGTATAGTTGAATTTATTATACATTCTGGTAGGCAGAAAAACTGAGAAAACTTAAAATTAAACATATTTTAAGATTTGGCCAATTTTTGATAGCAACACTGGTAGTGAAATCATGGACCTGGTCTGTGTTACTAGCAGGGGAGGATAACGGGCTGATGGCCACACTGGAGAGCACCTTCTGGCTCACTTTAACTTGGGCGCTTTGAGCCAGATGTTGGAGAAGCATATTTCCTATGTGGGGATTTCAGGAAAACCAAGCAGTCAATTTAATTTTCTCTATATTGGCCAATGTTACATAAACTGAATTTTCAAAGAAGGTGTTACAGCACTGGATATTGTTGATTTGACAGTCACTAGAAAATTCCCAGCGTGATTTTCTCATAAAGAAATAATATTGATTTTTAAGTAGCACCTATTTAGTCAGTTTACCTATTATTTTCCTTCTTTTCTGCAATAAGCATTACATAATAAAATGATGCAAACCACCAGATTTTCTATTAGACAATGATTCTTCATTATCTACATGATATCCCATAAGCACTACATATGCTTGAGAATGCACCATTTGGATGTTAAGACACAGAGGCAAAAATAAAATTACATTTGTGACTATGCCTGCCATTTTGTGGGGTTTTTTTGTTGTTTTTTTTGTTTGTTTTGTTTAAAGTGTAACAACTAGAATAGTTCTATCATAATGGAATTCTGGGGAAAAATGTTTGAAAAATTTTAAGTTGCATTAATCATTTCCAAATGGAAGCATACAAATGAGAGCATACAAGTATCGACTCTGAAGTTATAAAAATACTGTGACTAGCTATGAAAGAGTTATCTAGATGTAAACCTAATGCGGTTCTGAATTTTGGCCCACACATTTTCAAAGAGCTTTTAATTTCTGCACTACGATGGAGATAAAAAATGTTTATGATGTCTAATATTTTTCATCTAAAAACTGGAAGAAAAAAAAAAAGGCAGAAATTTCATATTGTTCCACCATTACGGCCAAATCACCATAAGACACGTCAAATAAGATAAACAAGTACAAAGTTCTCCTCTTAGAGGAATACTTAAACATTTACAGAGTTCCTGAGTTCTTCCTTGAACGAAGACCACAATGGCAAGCAAATATGAACTTTCATTCTTTTTTTTCTAGATCAGTTTAGTGTTCAGATCTGCACTCATCTCTATTCTGTGACCTAGCAGTTCACTGGGGTGGAAATTCATCACTGCTTTAGAGATCTACAAAGCAGAGCTAGTTACTCTAGGCACTTAGGCAACAGACAAAAGCAGGCATGAAACTGGGCAAAATTGGTATGTTGACTTTAACATAGTAAGTATTGCATCCAAGAGGTGCCATTTCCTTTCACCAAGTAATTTAGATGCAGATGTCTGTCATTCAGAGCAACCCTATCCCTTCTTGAATGTTCCTCATGCCTACCCATCAAGAAAATAGTCTCCTATTACATCACAGACTCCCCCGATTAGTGTAACTCATAGAACACTAAAGGTTAAAATTCAAACTTTCTAAGGATTAGGGTATAAACAACGTTAACAATAAGATTTTCTTTTAAAAGGATCTCTGATGTTCTAGTGCAGTACAAATACAGCAATTGCAGTAGGGTAAGTTCTAAGACAAGTACAACTGTGCTTTCTTACACTTAGGATAAATTTCATAAATGTATACGTACTCAATGTATTCCCTTTTGTTTTCATTTGTTACCATGATTTCTGACCCATTTGGCTTCAGGTCGACTTGATATGTCTGTAGTTCAAAAGAAAAACAAACCAAAACACAACACAACATGACATTATTTCAGGACACATTTCTTACAAAATCCACTCTCCTTGAGCAGCATTTGACAAGTAGTATCAGAAAATTACTATGCTGTAATAGCTAATGAGACATCGAAACATTCCACATTTAAAGATGGCATCATTAGGAACAAATTAGTCTATGATCACTTATAAGACTGAATTCTTGACCATATTCATTGGCAAGTGACCAAACCATTCCAAAGCAAACTTTTAGTCCTGAACAGCAGGTTCATTTGGGTAAAGAAAACATATATTCCATTTTAATAAGGGTAGAAAAATGCCTTATAATTTTTTCAATATTCTTGAAAAAAAAAGATTACTTAAAATCCACAGAGAAACTGTTTCATAAAAAGGCCAAAAAAGTAAAGAAGAAAAACAGATTACAGAAATGGTTAAGCACAAATTTGCTAAGGATGGTGTCACTGTGGAGTATAAGATTGAAAAAAATTCATTACAGTTCACAAGAAACTACAGCAAGTCCAAATAATGTATTTGTTTCTGAAGAAGGTGATTTATCAGTAGGAACTCACAGAATTAATGCTGGGTAGGTACCATGAAAGCTAAAAGTCGGTAGCTTTTATCAGTTAGTGCCACACAAAATTGCTACCAAGCTGTATGCTCCATAGCTGCAGCTATGAAGAAGCATTTTTCTGACTGCAGATCCTGCTGTTTACACACAGCATAGGCACAAGACTGGATTACTTTGTATTAATTTCTTGTAAAGCATGTGTGCTTGGGAGTGCTTTTCATTCCCCTAGGAGAGAAGGCAAGTCAAGTATTTTGTTGCTTGTAAGTCACTACTCTGTTCCAGTCAACTTGTTCCATCACTTCAAAAGCATGGTTCCAGTGGAAGCAACCAAGACGCAACTCTGTGCATCCACATTCAACCAAGCCTTTTTTTAAAGCTGTTACTAATCTTCATTATTAAATCGGATGTTGTGGCTGAGTAACAGTAAGACAGCAAATTCATTAGCTAATAAATGGAGCTGTGAAAGGAGGAGGCTGGAAAACTCCTTTCAGGACTGGATTAACACTGAATACTTCGACAAGGAGAAAACCAGTACAATAGGTCTATTTGAATAAATATACGTACTACTGTATAGGGGAAAAAAAAGATAACTATACTATTAAGGAAAAATAATTAATAGGGAACCTACACCCTCTGAAACACTTGTTTATTCGTTCCATAAAGACCAGAGAAGACAGTCCAGAAATAGTAAGGAAAAGCTTTGCTATACTGTCAAATTTAAATAGGATAATGTTATGAAGGTCCCAGACATGATGGCACAAACAGAAGGCTTCTTGGTGCTTGTTTCTTCCTGCCCACCAGATGATACATTGTTTTTCAGAAATGAGAAATAGTATTCCAGAGCCATTAAGAACTTAGGAGAAATACAGACTTTTTCTTTCTCTGCATTTTGAAGACAGCTCTCCATCTTTTACATGTTGAAAATATCTACTGTGTAATTCTTACTGACCTGTGAGAACTACCGAAACCGTATTTTGGTTATTAATTAAAGAAAGGTAATAAGAAGATAAGATTTATTAGAGGTTTCTTGTTTTTTTCTAACTCCAGAAAAGTTTTTGGTGATAAATGAAGTATAAATAAATACAGAACCTTACAGCAATGCAAACATCTCCCTCTCACATACACAATGTCCTGGTGGAAGCAGTATCATCTCCTACTCAGGTTCCCAAGGGCACTTTTATAAAGTTTCAGTAGTTTAGCAGCAGATGAGGCAAAACAAGTGACAATAGTGAGTCAGGGTCCCCTCACTTCTAGTAGTCCCTAGAGTGCTGGCAACGGCCAGCGGTACATGCAGAAAAAGCCAATGTAGTCAATATTTGCCATAACTTCTGAATTGCTGGAAAGCATCCTATATGCATTTGGACTGATGTTTCCATCTCTAGGTAGATAAATTCCTCCTCACTACAGCATACCCTATCCTTGTACTACTGAACTTATCCAGCCTCTTCTTTGATAAAATTTGCCATGCCAATTTTGCATCTCACCAGCAGTACGATGGAAACAGTATTATTTTCTTCTGGAATCAGATGCATCTACTGTTAAGTTAAACAAAAATCAATGTTGCTGGCAATGCCAGGAATTAGCTATTTGAGGTATTAAAGAGTTCAGAGAAGAGCAGAAAGTATCTCCAAGTAAGTTGATTTATGCTTTGAGTCAGAGAACAAACTTCTACCAGCAGAAGTGAAAGCTGGCAGTGAAAGGCTATGAATAAGTTGAAGCTAAACCTTTACAGAACAGAAGATAATGAAAATTACCAACCAACAAACCAGTGTATTACAAAAACTTTTCATCCTGTGGCTTTAATGTTCTCCCTAATTTTCAATGTAACCAATAACCGTATGTTGCTTCAGGAAAAAAGTAATAAGCACTGAGAAGTGGATCAGAATGTTCTTGACAGTACATTGTGTGCATGTTTTGAAATTTTGAAGTCAGCTTTCAAAAAAGGCACGGTGGTCCACAATACCAGTGGTACCTGGAGCCAAGATATCAAGGTCTAAGAGTTAAACAAAGACACTAGAAGAGGTCATAAAAGACTATAAGCAAATTAATTTAAGAGACACAGGTAGGTATTACTAAGTCCCAATATTGTACAAAACCAGTATGTTTTAGTCACTACATGTGTGCATGCATTACAAAATGGTTCAGCTCCACAGCTTGTAGATAAATAAAAAAAACCTCTCCAATCATGGTAGGCAAGTAAGTTCCAAGCTCATGTAAATAAACGTATGATTTAAGTCCTCAAATTAAATTTAACACATATACTTATGTACAAGACATTTATCTGCACCCAAGTTATTTCCATCCAGAAGCTGATACAGATCTCTGAAGTTTGTTTTAATAGGATTCTCTGTAAAGACTGACTGTAAATCCAAGACGAACCGTACCACAAGCTGTTGTTAAAGCTTCTACTGATAAAATGAGTTACGACTTCAGCTGATGAATTATATTCTCACCTACTTACTTCTCAATTGTTAAAAATGTATCTAACATTTTTCATTTGTAATGGAGAAAGTCTGTTACAGAATCCACAGATTGTGAACCTTTTTAAAATAGGCATGCTTCCTTTTCTTGTATTATCTGCCTGCATTATATAAAAGACACCATAAACAAAGCACTTCACTGATTATAACTCTACCACTTACTTTATTCTTTGAGAACATCTTCCACTTATAAAACCCTGAACACTCTCTGGCTGAGACTGTTTTCTAAGATGGACAGTGTAACACCTTTATTACTCCTCATTGCAAGCATTTTACTCAGCTTCAAGTACTGCTTTTCACAAAGATGTCATATTGCTCACTGACAAGAACATAATTTCCTTCTTTGGCATCCCCAGTCTTAGTTCAGGAAGAAAGAGACGTTAATATTCATAGTCTGCCTATACTGATCACTAACATTCAACAGTCCTGACCAAGTTCACAACCATGAGATAGTGCTCAGTATTTAATTACTTTGTGGCAATAACCAATAAATGGAAATATAGGCTTCGGGGATAACCTTTACATACCTGTCCAAAGTTTTCCTCATCTATGCAAAACATGAGATCCAACTCTGTAGGGTCATTTTCCAGGATCCACTTCAAAGAGTTGTAGTATTCGCTATCCTACAGCAGATTGTAATTAAACAATAATTAAATATATAAAATAAAAAAAAGTAAAAGTTTGAAAATGTGAACATTAAATGTACAGTTTAACTTTAAAATGAGCAAATAAAACCATCTAAAACTAGAACTCCAAAGGGACTGGAAAGATGAGAACTCATTTATTTGCACAGCTACTGTAAAGCGGGGTTAGATGGATTATTTTATTCATATGCATTTTTCTTAGATGCTATATTTTTAGATTCATGTAACTTTTCTTAATTGACTTTTAATTGCATTATTATACAACACAATAAATTGAGTCTACATACCTGTTAGGTAAATATGTATATAGTGGTGTGAAATAACTGATTAGAAAATGTCATCTTGATAAAACTGTACATTCTTTTCAACACAATTTATATACCACTTCATTACATCAATAATATATTATACAGTAACTGATTGCATTGTTATTATTAAAAGCATTGGCATTTACTGAATAAAAGACCCCTCTAATTTCCTAAAAGAGCTGTATCTTCATCATCTATTAAGTTCATAATTAAATAAAAAAAGAAAGAAAAGAAAAAAAAAGTATGTGTAGCTATCATTAAATACTTCCAAGCAAGAGAGCCCAAAAAATTAATTTCAAAATGAAGTTAAAACATTATTTACTCATGTATGCTTCAAGAGAAGAATGACCTGCCAAAGTTTGGTGACTATGATATAGTGGGAGCTGGAGGAGAGATTAAGCAGTTGAACCAGCTTTTATGTCAGTAACTGAGAATCTGTAAAACTCTAAAACATTAACAACAATAAACTGTGTTTTATTCTTATACCGAGTATACTTTTGACAAGACCAAGGACAGCTATTGCAGACCTAAGAATAAGAGGAAAAGGTTTCCCAACTACTTGTAAGAATACAAGACCCTGAACTTCCTTTTAAGATCCTTCTGGATATGTATCTCATGAGCTTCATTTTAAGCTTGTACTTGAGCTCAAGTCATCTCCTCTTCTGTAATTCTGCCTCTGTGCTGGGCTTGAGTCAATTGACCTTGCTGCTGAAGACAGTTTAGGAAAGTGCAGGATGTGAGTGGCCAGGCTCACAAGCAAGTCCTGCCCCTACAGAGGCAACCTGGAGCAGTCTTATCCAGATAAACTATTCTGTATAATGAGTAACAGAGGAAGACATTAGAAAGGGGAAAAGTAACAGCTCCAAGGTTCTCCAGAGCCCATAGCAGTGGAAAAACTGGACAGACCTCAAAAGGTTAAAAAGACAAAAACAAGTATCATCCTGCTAACTTAATGGAAACCATTTGTATTTAGCTATTGTACGTATCTGAAATGTACTGTGTTTCAATACTGGTACACTACATGTCTAGATTGGGCATGTGCGGGATCCTATTTACTGTTGTCCTTCATTTTACAATACAAAGTTACCAACTTGTAAAACAATTTGCTTTTCTCCCAGGAAGTGCCAAGCACAGAACTACTTGATTGCAATTAAAGCTGAAGGTGTGAAAGTAGAGGAAGTGCAGGGAACAAAACCAAAATGGATATAAGGGCATAAGTTGTGCTGCGATCATTAAGTATATTTCAGAGAAAACTGTGTATAATTTGGCAACCCTTTCTCCTTCCAACACTGTGGGCAACTTCCTGTGTTGCCAGGTCAGCACTAAGCCCTTGCATCCCCCTCCTGCTGCTCCACAGCATGACAGGAAAGCTGTAGGGCTTGTTGGTGGTGCTCCTTGTAACGTGGAGAAAGCTGATCCAGTGGCAAATCTGAAAGGACAATTAATTAGACATCTTATGTTGCATTTGTTACTGGCCTATTCATGTCTCTTCTCCCTTGTCTCTTTCACCACTGTTAGTGCACTGGTACTGAAACTGTTGTCCTAGCAGGGAAAAATGTGTTTTATTAAAAAAAAGTACATACATATCTTTCTAAAGTTGTTGCAACTATGACCTTGTGTTTTCCACCGTGCCGTTTACTGGAATTAATAGCTCTCATAAATTTCCCCAGAAGAAAAAAATACACAATTACTAATGCTGATACAGTTTACATGTTATCTTACCACTGACTCCATGTCCTTCAGAGTTATTGGTTTCCCCAGCATCATCTTGTAAAAAGGTCTGATGAAGAAGCCTAAAAGAAAGGGAAGAGTGTTATCTCCACTGTTCTGTATTTTCACCTTACATAAAGCTACAACTACTCAAGAATAACACACCATGATATTTCCTAGTGTGCCAGCAAGAAAGAAACCTCTTGGAACTAACAGTGCTGTAACTGCTTAAGTTAATACAGCAGGCTCATTTTTGTTTAGGCACAGAAATGCCAATTTTTCAATTACAAAAATTATGCCATTAAACACTATAAGACACAAAAGATGGGGAATTGAGCTCAAGTTACTCTAATCCATTTAAAACCGTCATTCTTCTCTCAAAGGAGATGCTAGAAAAACAGGACAGTGAGCTTCCTCTTCTAATGTGCTGCACTACTGCTAAATAAAATTTGGTCAGTTTATAACGTCTCCTTGCTTGCTTACTGTGAGATTTAAGAGTTTGGCAGAAATCATATTTTCTCATTAAATCATTCAGTAATAATTTTACAGGTCAAAATATGCTGCAATTGACACCCACACAACTGCTTTGGCTGCAGGTTTGCATGGAAATGGCTGATATAAATTTAGTGATTTTCCTTTAGGGATAGTGATTATTTAGCAATGCTGATTCTGCAGTTCCAACACAAATGGAGAAAGGAGCGAAACTTTATATGAAATGTATTTGTTTAGTAAGACACTATGATTTTTTAATTGCCATTCGCATCAGGAATGCAATTTCCAGCAGTTCCAGTTCCACTACTTTCTCTCAGACTTTGTCTCCATAAATACTACACTCTAAAGCATATGAATTATTGAAGTGATTTATTTAATAAAAATCCAGTAACTGTAGCATAGCCATAAAGTGTAATAACTCACCATCCAATAGTTTCCCGTGATATACTGCTAGACCGGCAACCCGCCCAATAAATGTGAAATATGACAGGTGATCTTCGTTACAAAGACCTGAATTAGGATTAATCTGAAGTGTATAGTTGTCCCTTTTTTGGGGAAAGAAAAAAAATATCTAAATAACCAAGTCTTTTAATAACCAGATATTCAGATATGTTAATAAATAACTTGAGCCTAGGGCCATTTCCTGTTCTTTTTTGCAAGAGTGTAATAATGTAATTAATCCATGTGTTCCTCAACAGAAGTATCTGACAGTTTGTGGGTAGACTGACCTAATCAAAACTGTCTTGCTATGACCATAATGATTACTTGACAAAGGTAACAAACTCCTGCTTGTGGGGTAACAGGATTCCACTTGTGGCAAGTGTAAGAGGGCTGCGCTAACCTCTTTAAAGGATAAAAGCCTGGCATCATTGAAAACACTAAAATATTGCCATCAGCTTCAGTGGAATGAGAATTTCAGCTAAGCTATCTCTTCTGCATTCTGCTGGGCTTGATTATTCACTCTTTCCAGCCAAGTTTCAGGGCTTAAAATTTCAGAATTCTCTTTTGCAGTAGTTGCTTTTAGTTCTTGAAATATCCGTAGGTACTAAAGAGGAATTAAGTATAGGACCATGGTCCCCGTCCTGGGATAAAGAATGTTTTCTTGCTAGTATCTTAAACTGCACATATTAGAGAACATCTCTGAAACACGCTTAACTCCCAGGATACTGGAAAAAGCCATCAAAGGACTAAGATCTTTTAACAGGGTAACAAAGCATTAAGACTCATGTGAAAGCATGTGTCACAGTAAGACATCAGTGTAAAAACAGTATTTTTAGTTTGCAGTATATATGCTTAATCTGTGAAGAAAGATACAGTGTTTTTAAGTAGATTTTTTTTTTCTTATTTCTTAAAATAACTAGTTAGATCTCTGAATGTAAAATGAAATAACATTATATTTAAAATGCCTACAGTGACCTATATCCCATAAGTGGAAATATGTCAAAACAAATGTTTATCCAGTGAACTGTATTAACACACGGGCACTCTGTGCTAGTCAGTGTTGTTTAAGTTGTGTTTCCCTTCAACAGCAGAACATGTCCTTTCTGACACACAAATGTGAGAAAACTCTCATTATGCAGTCTTTGTTCATCTACTTTACAATCTATTCAACACTTATTAAAGGAGCGTGCTTGATATTGACATAAAAACATCAAAACTACTGCCTGCAATTAAGAAATCCATTCTCACTGTAGCTAAGTACACAACGTGGAATTACATATGGCACATTAAAACAAATGTACTTTAAGCAAGAGACTTGCTTTCTCATGTACACTAATGGATTGCTTGAAGATTTTAAAATTGGACAAAAATAAATTTAAACTTATGTAAGGCCACTGCTGTGTAACTACTGCAATGTAAATGAGAAGCTGTTTTATAAGCTAATTATAAAGGAGCACTGTAACTCTGGATGGCAGGTGTTTTACAATGTAATGGGAGGGCATAAAAAGAGTCTTTTGTCTGACATTGCTCCTTTCACTATTACTAGCCTCAAAAATTGCAGTTTTGCCTCAAGTAAGGCAGCACTGAATAATGTCCTAATAATAAAAATGTTTTTTGAGACTTCAATGACAATTTGAAAGGTTCTCTGAAAAGCAAGTAAGAAATGATAGTACAGAACAGAGAGATTTGACTTATGATAAGAGTGCATACTGATGCACCATGAAGGATGATCTAATGATCTAACTACTTTCCAGTGTAACTGTGCCTCTTATGCAAAATCTAATGTATATCCCTTATGAATGAAAATATTTTAATGGACACTTACGTTGCTGAATATTCAAAGAGACCATAATAAGGGTTAAACATTTCCTTGGACAAGAGAAAAAACCATTCTCTGGCCACACCTCCATAGTCAAGTCCTTTTTCTGACTCAAATTCAATCCAGAGCCTGGCTTTTAGTACATCAGGTCTCTTCACAGACATGATTCTTCTGTAGGACTCCTCAAAAATATTATTTCTGTGTAGCTTCATCTCAAATCTGTTTGGTATATCAGCCTATGTGAAAGAAGAGTATATTATATTTGTTAGTCTCAGTAAATAAGTCTTCAGGCAAATTACTGATCAGTGGTAACAACTAAATGACAGATTAAACATCTGATGTATAAAGTTTCCCCTTAATTTGGTTTTCCAGTGCTCTCTAAGTCTACAGGTTGATAGCATATGGTGAACTCGGCAAGTTTCAGTATAGTGGTTCAGAGACTTCTATGATATTTGACAAAACAATGAAAACAACAAGAAAAGTAACAAACAAAAAAAAGTGAGAAAATTATTGATATTACTATGCTTTATTTTAAGGGCATTTTAGCTTAAAATGGTAACAAACGCGTAAGATTTATGCAACCGTTTTACTCACATATCTGTAAAGGCCAGAACGGTTTCACAACAAGAACACCTACAGTACCATACACACAACAGAACTGAATTGCAAAGATGTAAACAAAAGAGAATCGAGCTGCCACAATGTTTTGGAAGTTCTGCCTAAATAGGAGGGAGCTAACGCCTGTTATGATTTAGCCCAGGGAGCTAAATTCAGAAAAGACAAATGAGAACTGAGTTAATAATTTGTAGAAAGAAGACTGGATGAACAGATTAACATGACTGTTACAGCCATGTATAATTTTCCTGATAAAACTGACTTAAACCAAATATTTCAGAAGGTTTGGTTTTTTGTGACAACTGAAGTGCTTATTGTGTGCAATCACTAGTCAAACTCAAGGTGAAAATTCACAGAGCTATCAATAAACAGGTAAAGACATTGGCAAATTAAAGCTGGTGTTGCCAAGGCTGTTTATTGTTGATTATGAGTCAATATCACATGCAAGCTAATACTGAGCACTCTCTTATGTTAAAGATGTTACTGAAAATACTTTTTTTCACTCAACAAGAACACTAGAAGATTGTGCCAGATCCAGCACAACTGTGGGCTCTGCTTTGCCAACTTGTTCCAGCTCTGCCCTTCAAAGTCCACTGCTGAAGGTGATGGATAAGTATCAATCCTCAAGCCTATTTTCAACCTAAAAGCTTGTAAAGTAACATACCAATTAGTCTCAGTTGCAATGGGAAATAGTGAATCACTGCTACTTCTTGCTGCCTCATCACTTTGATTTTTGCATTCATTTAAAAAAAGTGAGTCAAAGATTTGTGAATGTTGAGAAATCAAATTCAAACTTCTTTTAATTTTTTTGGTTCCTACTTAACCCCTCTAGGTGTAGCACAATCAAGAAAAATTGGCAAGTGTGTTATAGCAAGGTACACCACTGTTCTGTATCTATGCTTGGGACAGTCTGTCATTTCTCCCAGACATAGCATAATTGATTCCAACACAAAGCAGCACGTTTCTACTCACTGGTTTCTTCAACTTCTTCCGAAAATAGTCATATTTCTGTTTGAACTCCCTGGAATATGGAACTGCCTATCAGAGAGAGAATCATAAATACAGATTATTCCACCTATTTAGCAGTTTGATATTCCAACATTATTTAAACAAAAAAGAAATTTAAAGACATGCTATCTACGTATGTATGTCATAGGTTCATCTAATAAAATCCACCATGCATGAAGTACAGCAGCCAAAATTTTCCCATTTCTCAATGTGTAATCTGAGTTAAAAAAGTGTATAATCTCTGTGTGTAATCTGAGTTAAAAGGTATGAAAACTTTTGACCCAGTTGTTCTGTTTATCAACTACTTACCCTCATTTTCTTCTTTTCGGAACAGAAAAAGAGCAAAAACAATTTTTAACACAGACAAAAAAAATTGGAATGTATTGCTGCCATCCATGTGTCTCATTAGGAAATAATGAGCATTCCATATGATACTGAATTTTAAAAATTACTAGCGTTACCACAGAATATGGATTTGCACAGCTGAAAGTGCTAAGCATTATTAGGTGCTACTCAAAATACACAAAATTGAAAGAATTTTCAAAGAAATTTTCAAAGAATTCAAAGGCAGGGGAACATCCATAGCTAGAAATTATCTTTTCAGCCCAATGTGAATGAATATAATTCTTAATAGTTACCAAAATATCATCACACTATATCAAAACTATTTTGTAAGTTACTTATAATGAAAATATACACCTTCATAATGTCTTTAATCCAGAATCTGAAAGCATTTCATAAACAAATTAACATTATTTTGAACCAAGTACAATTGTGTAATATTTATCTGAATACTTACTCAATGCAGCTGCCTGTGAGTTATTTTTAAGTAACAGCAGCATAACAGAACAATTTTAGAAGTTTTTTTTTAAAAAAAAGCACAGTGAAGGTTGGTAGAATTACATTAACCAGCAGAGCTGGAAATTGGTTTCTGGCATATGTAAACACTCCTTAGCAAATGCCACAGGTCTCTGAAATATTTATGGGGATTTCCAGATACCTGAAAGGCGTCTCAGGATGATTCTAGGCACACACAAATCAAGGTTCAACAAAGGTTCTCACAAGCTCTGTCATTCAGAGTTTTGAAAGACATTTCTGTTTTAACACTGTGCTTCTCTTTCCTGCTAACATCCTGTATGGGTAAGCAAGGATTTGACACTGAGATAGACAATTGCCATGTTTGATGTTAATCTGTACACCATTCACTGACGACTGCAGTGGTCAGTAAGATGACAGTGTTCATTTCTGCTACCTGTCTTCATCAGACTCCTTTGCTTCTGCACCTGATAAGAAATGCTTACAAACATCCAAAAAGGCCAAGCCTTTTAAGGCACCAAGTAGTACCAGACACAAAGGCAGTCAATTGCATCAGCCATCAAGCAGGAGTACAGATAAGAGCCATCCATACTCCTGATTGCCAGTCTTATGACTGCAACCTACATTATTCAGCCTTCAGATGAAATGGCCATAAAACAAAGTTGTGAATTAAACTAATGAACAGGAATAGGCTAGAAAAGTGATACTATGACAGGTACAGGTCTGGCTCTAACAAATAACTGCTATGTATTTAAGTAAGATTCCTTAATTCTCTGTGGGTTTTTTGACAACTTTTTTAAAGTTGAGTCCTTAATTCTCTGGTTTCTGACACCATACACAACATCAATTTAATCAGGGTTTGGAAAGTGCCTTGAAAAAAAAAAAAGAAGGAAAATAAAAAAAGACTTCCTGGTCTTGATCATAATATTTTCCAACTACATCCTTACTTTCCTTTGCTCTACTGTTCCTTCAAGATGAAAGAGTAGACCTAGTAAAACAACTAGCTGAACAAATGAAGTGTAACTTCTTGGGAGCAAAAGAATTATTTTGAATTCCATAGGACTGCAAAAGTTACATTCTCTGTTCCTTGACGGCTAAATCACAAATTGCAAAGCTCTGGTTCAAGTTCAGTTTCTGTGTGAGGACTGCAATTTTGGGGGAGGGAAGGTATGGGCTGGTCCTGAAGTAGATTCATGACTGGATGTAGGTGAAAGCGGGAGGTAGAAAGATTTCTATATGAGTTTTCCCTTGTGGATGATGAGACATGAAAAATTAAAACAAAACAAAACAAAACCCAAACAAAAAAACAACAAAAACCAATAAAGCTAAATAATTTTACTCTGATGATAATATGACTTTACTACAGCCATTAAATAATCTTTCAACATGTTTCCATTGTTTAAATGCAATCTGAAATGCAATTTAAGTAGTTCTTTGTTTTTGTCATGGCACCAAAAATACTATTAAAAGCATTAAGATGAATCCTTAATGTTTATATGGCTGTAAAATGGATTTGATCTAGCTTTCTCTTTAAAAAAAAGAACAAACACACAAATAACTGTTATTTACTTAATGGGATCATGATTGACCTTTATAATCTTGAAACAAAATTTCCCAGATAGTCCTTCTCATTTATGCTTAACATTTCTGGGAAAATGAACATTAAGGATTTCTATAGCATACTGTGTATTAGTATCTCAAGCATTAAGTTAATGATAAAAGGGCAAATCACTCCAAAAGCAATTACATTCAAACAAGTGATTATTATTGATCTTATCAATAAACAAGAGCAACTGGAATTACACCATGCAGTAGTTAATCTGCTGTGTCCTGAGACCCTTAAAAATCCTGAGGATTTACCAAAATAAACATCTAGGGTTGGAAGTCTGATCACTCAGAATACCATAAAATGGCATAAACAAGCATAACAAGGTCAAAGAATCACTCCATATATTTGATGTTTTGAAAATTTGATATTAAAGCATGTATTTACTTTTTCTAAGGCTGATATTCTGAAATCTCTTAGTTTATCTGCAGTTAGTTTTATGTCTCTTAAAAGTGATAGACCCAATTTTTATCTTTTTTACACTCTGAATCCACAGTCACAACTCTCCCATATGAAGTGGAAATAGCTTTTTGTTATCCAGAAAACCAAAACTGAATAGCACAGTGTCTCAGCTCAGTACAATTCTGTTGTTGGTAATGACCCAGATAATCAGTAAATATGAACATTTCTCCCATACACATCTCTAAAACCTTACAATCTAGGATTCAGCACAGAGAACTTGGCCTGAAATTCCCAAGATCTTCAGACTTACGATTCAGAGCTGACATGTGCCCTTCACATAGGTTAATATAGAAACATACCACTTGAACGCAATGGAGGAATAAAAGGTAAAATGCAAAGATTTAATATTGTTTGTTCCATACTAAGTAATTTATAATATCAGCAAGTGTGGAGAAAGAAAAAATCTGAAGATATTTTACACTTACATTATTTTAGATGTAATTTATTTAAAAATCACATTTTTTCCCTCAATTCATCTGTTTGGATGTCAAAAGTAAGCTAAAGATATCACTCTACTACTTCTGTCCTGGAATTCCATCATCACCATAAGCAGCAAATACAACAAAACCCATATGGAAATCTTGAATTTTTTATTTTTCAGCCAGGGATCACATCAGTAATGGATCTCTTTCAGAAACCACACTGTTCATCATCACTTAGTGCAGAAAGCTTTAGGTTGCAGGAGGAGGAGAATGGAACAAATGAGAAATGATGGGTTTGTGTGTGTTTCAGACATGAAACACCATTCAGACTATTTAGCTATGCAGCTTCCGAATGGATGGAGCTTCACTCAGAAATAACACAATATAAAAAATTAAAACCAGCTAAACACGAGTTTCTGTCCTGAAGAGCATTCTCTTCCTCCCCACTGAAACAGAGGTATCCTGTGATTTACTGTCATATCTACTGATAAAGAATGTTTCCTAGACACTCTAAGGCAGAAGCCAACTTCACATGCTAATGGCTACAAGACAGGAATCATAACTGTACCACTGGAAAAATTCCCTAGCTAGGCAGCTACTGCTAGGAAAGCCTCCAAACCCATCAAATTCAAACCTATTGTCTGACCTGGGGGAATAGTGTGCACAGCACTGTAGTTCCAAATGTTGCAGTAACTCCTAATTAGCCCACTACTGCTTTGGACCACTGGCAGCAGGCTGGAAGGTCCCCAGTGCACTCCAGCCTGTGCGTAACAATACAGGGTCCCCAGAGTGGTACAACCATTTGAATGCTGGGGACGAGGCACCAGTTTTGGGGCACCTTGGCAGGCTGTCACATGATGGCAGCTGCCCCTGCCCTTGCGGACTCACAAAAGCTAGCACCTGAGCCTCCCATGTCCGTCAGGAAAAGGCAACGCAAGGCAGAGGTCCTGCTTCCTGGTCTGTTCATCAGGCAGTGTGACCTGGTCCGAAGAACAGGCATGACCTGCTGCTCGATAATGCCTCCTGCCTATACCAAACCTACATGAGTCACAGCATTTAATGGAAAAAACCCCCATAGCAGTACTTACTGGACCAGTAATTGCTGGATTCTGCAGTCTGGGGTCTTCCCACTGGGTAATTTTATTATCTGTAAATAACAAAAGAAATTATATCATTACTTCTCTGTTACCACACTGTGAATTCATGTTGTTTTTTTCTCCCTACAACTGTTTTCCCTAACATTTCCACAGCTTAGTATTTCAGGGTTAGAAAATGCTGCATTCACCCATCTACACCAAAACCCCATCACACTGTTCAGTTGAAAACACCCATTCAAAATGTAAAACTACAACAGAATCCAGTGTATTTACACTGCTTTTATTTCAGCGTCTGTAGCAGTAAACATGTTCTATTTGAACATGGTCTTGGATTCAACTCATATTAGAAATACACAGGCTTCATGCCTCAAAGGTAAAGGAACCCAAAAACTTTGTCAAATGACAGACTGAGTTTACTTTTTTGAAATTTTGCATAAAGATAGCCAAAATGTAATACTTTTAAAAGATAGTTTGTATTTAAATTTGGAGGGAATATCATCTCTTTTCTTTTAAAAAAAAAGTCCTAGACACTGATTGAATGAGAAGGTTATAGGACCATTAAAAGCGAGGCAAAATTATACAGTTAAAGTATAAAAGATCATTCAGTTTTGACCAAAGGAGATTTTGGCAGTAGCGCGACAGAAACCAGTTCTTTTCATCTACAGTTTTTAAGAGCACCAGGAGGGTGATATGGTAAGATTATACAGGACCATGGTGAAACTCTCCCTGCCTCCAGACAACTGCTCCTCACAAGATTCTGAACACAACAGAATCACAACAAAATGATGACGTTGCAACAATAAGACAATGCTCCAAAAACCAAACTAGGTGCCACCTGCAATGGCAAGACTTAAGCCATCCATTTCCTGCACTGAAAGGGTAATAATAATAATAAATCTGTTTGTTACATACACTGCTTTGATTTATGAAGTTTTGTAATTGTTAGGTTTGGGAATAAACACACTAAGTTTCAAGAAAATTGTTTTTATGGCTACCATAGGTAAAAGCAAAGAACCAAACCCACTTATATTGAAACACAAGTATTTTCCATGTTTCTACAGTTGGAAAAGACCTGTAAGTTTTGAGCATCCCAAGCTAGTTTTAAAATGGACTGGGATTTGAAAGGTGACATTCATTAATGTTAACTGAAGAAAATTCAAAAAGTTCACAAGCACATTTCAAGAAATTTGATCTATGAGTTAATTTAATATCAAAATACTATTTTATTTCCCTTTACCCATTAAGTCTATTTAGTGCTTATCGAAATTATGGAGGAAGGCTGTTAGACTGACAGGTCCAGAAACCACATGAGATCCACAGACCAGACCCTGCCATAAAGGCGTGATGCCTAATCTGGTCCTTTTCATCTTGCTTCAACCTGTTCAGTCAAATTTCCTTCTACAAAGTTTACTGGTTTTACACCAATTAATTTCTTACACCTACTTGACACTGACAGCCCCAAATCATACTAGTAATCTTCTACAAAATCAAAGATGATTGAATGGGAAATGACTGCAAGTTTGTAAATTCTTTCTTATAGCCCTACATGCTTAAGAGTGTATGAAGTTACTGACAAATCTTTTTCTTTTTCTCTCTCCCCCCCCCCCCCCCCCCATCACTCGCAGCCC